AATCACTGTAAGATTACATGGACAATCACCTTGATCTCAATTTTGAATGATAACCTGAAGAGAGCAAAAAAGTAATCCAGCTCTGTGATGTGGAGCTGTTGTTTAAGACATTTTCAGATTAGGCAACTTTCATGGCCTTATGATGGATTGTTGCTTCTGTGATTTCTTTTGACTCATTATTTGTTGGAACTGAATAGAATTTCTTCAGTAGTCTTATTTGCATGAACTGAATAGAGAGAGGAAGCACTAGGCTAATAGCAGATATTTGTGATGTTGAAAATTGTTAATAGTATTTTAACACTGTGAATAGGGAAAGATGTCTGCTCCATTTTCTTTGTTCCTTTTACCTAGAGCTACTGCTATAGCTTCTCCAATCAATACTAAATTTATCCTTTTTTTGTCCATGGTGTCAGATAGGTTCCATTAAAAATACACATTTTCCCTTGACATTTCAGAATACACGATTTTTTTTTTGGCTGAACTTGCACTATATCTCATTAATCTCTCTTTGCATGCATTTTTACAAACTTCTCATGGTGCTTCAGGGGATAATTTGGAAAGGGTCCAGTTTTTAAACCTTTACTTTGTCAGAAGCACAGTACTGTATGGAGAAAAGTCTTGAACTCTATTCTCAAAGAAAATAAAAGCATGCTGAGGAAACTAGGGACAAATATGTGAGCTCCTTCTTCATGACTTAGCATACTGTTTTGAATATGTTAGCTTTTCTACCTTTCTATTTGTGTTAAGTGTGTTCACGTTGACTTTGAGTGCTAAGTGCAACCCTCTTTCCCCCTTTTGATTACTGGATTGAATGATTATGGGCCATCAAGTCATTATTGATTCTTAGTGACCAGATAGATCCCCCCCCCAGAAGATGTATCGCTAACCTAGTCTGCCAGGTCTTCCAATGATGTATTCATTGTATCCATTGTCTCTGTAACTGAACCAATCCACATCTATGGAGATTCTTAGACATCCGGGTCATGGTTGTCCCAAAGCTACTTTTTCAAAAGGCAACTGGCCTTTGTTTTTTCTTGAAGATTTTTTGCTTCTCATCCAAGAAGCTTCTTCAGTTCTGACTGAATGGTGGAGGATGGAAGGATTTATATTTTTTACAGTCATCTGGTCATTAGCGCTCTTTCTGAGAGTCGTTGATGCCACTTGGAGGTTTAACTGTGCCTGCAGGGTCATCTGAATAGTGCAAATGGATGTGGAACCTTCTTGGAACTTGGAGCTGAAAGGACTGTGTTATGAACAGGAGATAGGTGGTGTTGCATCCCTTATATTCTCACAAGTCTTCTCCAATACCAGAGTTCAAAAGCATCAATAGTCTTCTGATCCTGCTTCTTCAAAGTCCAGTTTAATTCCACAGAGTGTCACAGAGAATACCATGGCTTGCAGAATTCTGATCTTTATAGGTATAAACACATCGTGGTATTTGTATGCTTTTTCTAAGGCCTTCATGTACAAGTCCTAGTCACTGGCATATTTCTTGACTGCTTGATCCTTTATTGTTCATGGTTGACCGTCATCATCATCATCGTCGTCGTCATCATCATCATCATCATCATCATCATCATCATCATCATCATCATCATCAAATTTAAGGCCATTTGTTCTAACTGTTATCATTAGTTTGATCTTTATATTTAAATTTAGTCCCATTTTTTCACTATTCTTTAATTCCATTACTAGAATTTGCAGATCCCTTGCATTTTCAGCTATCAAAGTTGTGTTATGCGCTTAATGCAGGTTATTGATATTTCTTCTTCCATTTTTAAAACCATCCTTGTCTTCTTCCAACCTGGCTTCACTTAATAATATATTCAGCATTTAGATTTGGTAAATAATGTAAGAGCATATAACCTTTTGTCACTCCTTTGCCAACACGGAAGCAGTCTGTTTCACCATGATATGTTTGCATTGTGGCTTCCTGACTTATATATTGTCATGAGGACAATGAAATATTCTGGGATTCCAATTTTTCTCAGCACTCACCACAGCTTGATGTGGCTGACACAATCAAAATAATAAATGAAGCACAGAGATTTCCTCTCCTTTTACAGGATCCTTAACTTCATAAAGAACTGTTCCTCTTGTATAACTGTTAGATTTAAAGATATAAGTGAAGCAGGAGATTTTCCTATGGTTTGCAGTAACAAAGGTTAGAAGTGATTATGTTTTTTTTATTCAAGGCGCCATGCAGCATCACCTAAAATGACTTGCTGCCAAATCAAATTGGCATATATTAACCTCCTCCTTGTCTTTATTTAGTATATTACAAAATCAGTAATATTTAACAGTCCTGGACCAGGGCCCTATTTCCTCTTCCTCAAGGGAAGAAGGTTCCAGAGATCATAGCATTGAAGTTGATGTATTGCTGTGATAAACAGCATTTATTTATTTTTTGAGTGGATCAAACCTCTTTAGGCAAAGGAAGAGTCATGGAAGTGGAAATAAAAATCTAACTGAAGTATTAAGAGCCGTGGTGGTGCAGTACTTAGAATGCAGTACTGCAGGCTACTTCTGCTGACTGCCGGTTGACTGCAATTTGGCAGTTCGAAACTCACCAAGGTCAAGGTTGACTCAGCCTTCTGAGGACAGTAAAATGCTGACTCTTGTAAACCACTTAGAGAGGGCTGTAAAGCACAGTGAAGTGGTATATAAGTCTAAGTGCTATTGCTATTGCTTTTGATAGGGTTACAATTATCAGCTAAACCTACGTTTTGCTTAATTTACAGACATACAAACTAGATTCTTTTTTTCCCAATATTTTTTTTATTTTTAAACATAAAAAACAACATTAAAAAAACTAGATTCTTTTCTGTTATATAACATGTTCAAAAATTACAACTAGAACAAATATCTCCACAGGGATTATAGTAGTATAAGTAGTCTGATGGCAATTGGCACCCAGATTGCATCATTAAAGGAAACTGTAAGAAAATGAGTTGTAGAAATAAGAAATATAGATGTTAATTTAGGGAAAGACAATTGTTGAAAGTCCATGCATAGTCATCCCCACCCAGTCTTTGGTTTTATTTGCTATGATTTTAAAATATTTTCTCAAAAACTATTAACTATGGATACTTTTTCATGATAAGTATTTTTCTTTCTTGTAATTTGTATTGATTTCAACACAATTTATTCTAATACCAGATTCCTTCAGAAAAGCTGTTAAAACATGGCTGTTCCGGCAGGCCTGGGGCTGTTGACCTTATTGTAAAGGTCCAGCCCCGATTAGAAATGTATGCGTGTTGGGAATTTTTAAATTATTTTTTTATTTTGCTTTTCTTTCTTTTTTTTCTTTGTAAGCCACCCGGAGTCCTCCAGGATTGGACGGCCTAGAAATTTAACAAACAAATAAATAAACAAACAAACAAATAAACAAACAAATAAATAAAATCCATTATTGTACTGCAGTAGCAGCCTTGATTATACCTGACCATAGACTTTTTCAGAGACTTCAATTTCAATGAAATATGAGAAAAGTAGAACGAGAGATTGCTTTGCATTGTGTATCGTTTAACATATTTGGATTAGGTCAGAAAAGCATTGTATATTTACAAATATTACCTTCCACAAATATAACCCCTGCACTACCCCCGCACATGCACACATGACTCCTCCTCCCCAGCTCATGCACATGTGATCCCCACACATGCACAGATGACCCCCGCTGACCCCCAACTACCATGCATGCACGCGTGTCTCCCACATGTGCCCTGTCCCCTGTGCATGTGCAGCAGAGACCCCAAAACCAGCTGGCCTGTGGGAGACGTAAGCGCATACATGGTAGAGCTGAGCTGGGGCAATGGCTACGCATGCCATAGGTTTACCATCATGGCTCTAGACTTAAAAAATGTTTCAGCCCCTTTCTGCTTTGGTAATCGTTTTTGCATATTTCTGCCAATGCCACTTTACTTATACTCTATAAGGAAGAACAAATTACAGTTTTGATTTTAGATTCTGATTTGTTTGTTTATTCATGTCAGAAGCATCACAATGAAAATAAGGCATACTGTATAACGTAAAATTTAAAATATACAATACAAGATTTAGTAAAGGTAAAGTTTCCCTTGCACATGCGTGCTAGTCATTTCCGGCTCTAGGGGACGGTACTCATCTCCGTTTCAAAGCCGAAGAGCCAGCGCTGTCCGAAGACGTCTCCATGGTCATGTGGCTGGCATGACTAAACGCCAAAAGCATACAGAACACTGTTACCTTCCCACCAAAGATGGTCCCTATTTTTCTACTTGCATTTTTAACATGCTTTCAAACTGCTAGGTTGGCAGAAGCTGGGACAAGTAACGGGAGCTCACTCCTTCACGCGCCACTAGGGATTCGAACCACTTATACAAGATTTAAATATGTGAAAATTCAACAAAACGTGCCCCAGAAACTAGCAATGTTCATTGTGTTCAGTCGTGCTGCCATGAGGTCTTCAGGTCCTCCCGGAGTCTTCCGAGAGTGGGCGGCATACAAATTAATTAAATCAATCAATCAATAAATAAGTGTACACTGATCTGGGTACAAAGCATATACACATGTCTACATGTCACCACAATAGCATGTCTGCATGTCACCACAATAGCAAACAACAGAAGCAATTGGATAGCCCCATTTGTTCAGAGTGTCTCTAGATTTTGTTGTACCTGTGCACAGTCAATTCAATGATTTCCATACTTCCCAGTTTTCTTCATTCCCAGTTACCATCTCCTCCGTTGGTTCCATCAAATTTTAGTTCTTTGTAGCTTTCCATAGAGCCATAGCATACCATAGATTCTGCAATTTCCCTGTAACCGACTTGATCGCTGTGGGAAAAGACTTGGATCTCTGGTGACAATATTTTTGCCTAAGAAATATGCATTTTCTATCATTGCACTTTGCTACAATAGAAGAAAGAATATGCTCCATGGATTTTCTTTGCATATAGAACTGATTTCAGTATATTTTACATGCTTGTTCAAAATCTCATGGGTCTTTTATGTCTTTCTTAGATCCACTGTCAATGGGGCCACAGAAAGCTCTAGAAACCATTGGTGCAAATTTGCAAAAACAGTATGAAAATTGGCAACCGAGGGTAAGTATCTTTTTGTCTTCTTGTAAGATAAGCTTTTTTTTCAAAATCTGTGTTTACTTCTGGTAAACTAATAATACTAATACTAGAAAATATTCCACTTGAAATATTGGATACATACTGTGTGATCTTTTATATATTATATTAGGCAAAATTTGGAGCTTTTCTATGTATCCATATGGATAGAATATTACAGGTTCTCAAAAACTATTAAGCTTCAACTAGATTAATACTTCAGAAAGAGAAGAGTCATTTTTATAGCCAAGAATTTCTACATTGGTGGTTGTATGATGCAGTATTATTGTTACCAAGTAGTTAGCAAAGCTAAATCAGCAAAGCAGTTAATTCCAGTAGATAGAACTCTTTTCTGCATCGTTGGCTTTTGATGTATAGGCACAGGTTTTATAGTCAGATAATAATGCTTATGACTATTTCTTGAGTCTGTTGCGTCAGGCTTTAAATTTATGATGTAGTAGTCACTAAAAACTGAGAGCACATTGGCTTCTGTCCACATGAGTGGTATTGAACAGTTCACTAGTGGAAGCAAAGTCATCCCTTTTCTGGATGTATATTAGCCAAGGATGGACTGTCAGTTTTAGGAATGCTTTAATTTGAATTTTTTTATATAGAGGTTTGCTTTTATCAGGAGGGTCATAGCAATATTTGGAGAGAAACTGATGGCTTCAGTCACTGAATTTCTAAAATCTAATTTTGAAGGTCCAGGGGCTTGCTGATTATGGCACTTAGAGTTCACTAAAATAGAGATGACATCCATGAGAGCCAAAAGTTTATTTTTTTTTATAAGGCTTGATTTTTATGCCATTTTATTTTAAAGTAAAGTTTTCAATTTCTTATAATCTCAGACAAATGTACATGGAATATGCTAGATTTACAAGCATAGTGGGACAATACCAACTCACAGCAAAGACTCTGCATTCCAGGTCACCATTTTATGTTCTTTGGGCAGAACGTCATTCTTTTTTTGTGTTATGTCATCAATTTACAGAGAACATTTTTGCAATTTGGCAAGCTTTTCCAGAGAGCACTCCTCAATTTCATTTGCCTTAACACATTCTTCACATGAGCATTTCATTCTTTTCTTAAAATCTTATTTGTTCAAATAATTTTAAAATTAGAGTTCAAGCTCAATTTAAGCTTAGTTTAAATGTCCAAATTCTTTAGATTTATATTTGCTGAAATCTCTTTCTTTCAAAGACAGAAGTACGAACAGTTATAACATTTCCCACTTATCCCCCTTCCTCAAGAAAGTAAAAGATAGTATGTGGAAAGGGGAAACGAGAGAACTAAAAAAATGGGATGCAAGATTATTCTTGTTCCATTTTGGGAAAATTGGAAAGTTGTACAAAATTTGGAAACAGAAAACTGTACAAGCCAGTCTCTACTTTCTAATGTCTATTACTTAGTACTAATAAAGTTCAAAGTGATTTGAACTGATTGTGCACAAAATATATATTGTTTGCTTACAGAAACCAGGATCAAATTCTACTGGATTTTTTTTTAAATCTCAGAATTGAACTGGATGTATTATCAGAAGAAGGGTAGCTTTTTCATCTTTTTCTTGCTGTCCTCCCACCTGTCTTTATTTCTGTCCAGATGCAACATAATATTTAAGATGGAGATGCAGAGCTTGAAAATACGATCTCTATAACTCTATTTATTGTAAGATCATTGATTCCAATTAACAGTAACTTCTACAGCTGCATGAAGTCCACAATGGTTTCGATGAGTAAATTTGTAATGATATCACATTGTTACAGTTATTGATGAGTCACATCATTCAAATATCTGTACTGTGCACAATTCCAGAGTCCTCCTGTTTTCAGCATTATGGAGCGTAATGAATCCTCTGGAAAACTGCCTATTGGCTCACTGATATAAAGGTTTAATGCAATATGTAGACCTTAACGGTATAGTAATCCCTTGGGGCCCAAGCAAAACAAACCAGACTCTCTGCTGTTTTAATACCATAACCCATGGAATTTGGGGAAGTGGATTCAGGGAGGAGGTTCTGATAGAAGCCTGTACTTTATGTGTGTGTGTGGGGGGCATATTTGGGGCTGCTTTGTATAGTTTGCAGAGAATATGAGGCAATGTTCTGTGTGCAAGATGTTTTGTGTGCAAGAGGTATTGATTCGTAACCCTAAATCACTGCCCTCCGAAGCATTGCAAAGCTGAACACATGCCATTTTATTGCACTCTGCTAGCTTTTACGTTTTTTCCTTCAGTAATAAAGAGAAATTGTTGGGCTATCTGCAATAAAACAATAGGAGAATGATTGAATTTCCTAGAACTTTGCTCTAAATCCTAAAAGAAATACTTTTTTCTCCCATGTCTTTCTTCCCCCTGTCCCCTATCCCAGGCTTGCTTTAGAATAGATGGTCAGTGAAGCAAATTGAAGGAAGCAAATGACAGATCCTTGAAACAGAGTAGGAAAGAGTAACTGAAAATGGCTCATTAAAAATATATGACAAGTTGACAAGCACTGATTATTGAAAAATGGGGCAGTGAGTGTACAAGGTTTGCTGGAAGAATTATCCAATGAAACATAATGGAATTTCAATGTTTATTACAGCTTTTCTTACAATTTTTTCATTTGTAGAAATAGCTGTCTATTTTGAATACATATAAAGAAATCATAGAAGGTAATTTTATGAAAAACAATATCGAGGATAGTCTTCGTTTGCAAAAACAATTCTGCGGTGTATTGTTTGGCTGGCATGCTTCTCACTGACAGGTATTACTGATTTGCTAATTGGGAGATATATCAGTATTCTGCTAATAAATTCTGCTTCAAAACAATTTAAAAAATGTAAACCATCATATGATATGACATTTTTTCTGTTGCATGACTAGAAAATGCTTCAGCCTATTCAATTGCATGATACTATAAATAATTAAATGTTTAATTATCATGGGGAAAATGGAAGTTGTAATCCAACCCATGGAATATCTACCCTGATGCTATAAACTTCTGCGAATTAAACACCCAAAAGTGTTCGTTCTCTATAGAATAATTATTATATATAATTCCTATGTACAGTACATCCAGAAAGTATTCAGATCCCCTTCACTTTTGTCAGTTGTGTTATGTTGCTGCCTGATTCTACACTTACTGAAATTCATTTTTTTCTCATTGATCTACACTCAATACTCCATGATGACAAAGTGAAAACAGAATTTTAGAAATGTCTGTACATTTATTAAAAAGAAAAAAACCTGAAATATTACATTGGCATAAATATTCAGATCCTTCACTCAGTACTTTGTTGAAGCACCTTTGGTAACAATTATAGTCTTGAGTCTTTTTGGGTATGACGCGACAAACTGCACATTTTCTGCCCTTTTTTCTTGCAAATCCTATCAGCTCAGTCAGGTTGGATGGTGACCATCAGTGGACAGACATTTTCCAGTCCTTCCAGAGATGTTCAGTAGGGTTCAAGTCAGTGCTCTGGCTGGGCCTTTCTAGGACATTCACAGAGTTGTCCCTAAGTCACTTCTGTGTTGCCTTGGCTGTGTGCTAAGGATCGTTGTCAATTTGGAAAGTAAACCTTTGGCCCAGTCTGAGGTCCCGAGCGCTGTGGAAGAGGTTTTCATTGAGGGTACCCCTGTACTTTGCTCCATTCAGCTTTCCCTCAACTCTGATCAGTCTCCCTGTCCCTGCTGCTGAAAAATATCCCTCACAGCATGATGCTGCCAACACCATGCTTCACTGTTTGGGATGATATTGGGCAGATAATGAGCAGTTCTTGGTTTCCTCCAGACATAATGTTTAGAATTGAGTCCAAACAATTCAATCTTGGTTTCATCTGACCAGAGAATCTTGCTCCTTACAATCTGAGAGACCGTCAGATGCTTGTTCGCAAACTCTAAATGGGTTTTCATGTGTTTTGCACTGAGAAGAGGCTTCTGTCTAGCCACTCTGCCATAAAGCCCATATTGGTGGAGTGATGCAGTGATGGTTGTCCTTCTGGAACTCTATCCCATCTCCACACAGGAGCTCAGTCAGTTTGTGCCAAACTTCTTCCATTTGAGAATTATGGAGGCCACTGTGCTCTTAGGAATCTTCAGTGCAGCAGAAAGTTTTATTCCAGCTTTCCTCAGATCTGTGCCTTGCAATAATCCTGTCTCTGAGCTCTGCAGGCAGTTCCTGTGACTTTGTGGCTTTTGCTCTGCTACAGTATGCATTGTCAGCTGTGAGGCCTTTTATAGAGACGTGTGTGCCTTTTCAAATCATGTCCAGTCCATTTAATTTACCACAGGTGGACTCCAATCAAGGTATAGAAACATGTCAGCAACAATCAAGAGAAATGGAAGGCACCAGCTAAATTTCAAGTGTTATCGCAAAGAGTTTGAATAGATATGCCCTTTGTGATATTTCAGGTTTTTTCTTATTTTTAATAAATTTATAGACATTTCTAAAATTCTGTCTTCACTTTGTCATTATGAGCTACTACATATAGATTAATGAGAAAAAAATGAATTTCAACCACTGTAGAAGCAGATTGCAGCATAACAAAATGGACAGAAGTGAAGGGAGTCTGAATACTTTCTGAATGCATTTTATGTATGTCCTCAGTATTGAGGGGCTATAGCAGTGGTGTCAAACTCAAGAACCTTGAGAACCTGGGGCCGGATATGGCCCAGGGGGCTGCTCTGGAAACAGTGAAGGACTGGCCTGCAGTGCCTCTGCTAGCAAAAACTGAGCTTGGCAAGGCTGCCTGCTTCGTTTTTGCTGGCAGAGGCCTGCAGGAAGCCATCCTAGCCGAAAACAGAGTATGTGAGGGCCACGTGTCCATCCTCCCCCAGCTCCATTTTTGCTGGCAGAAAGTTGCAAGAGACTGTCCCAGCCAAAAACAGAACTTGGGGGCACATTTTCACTGGCAGAGCATGTGGGCCACCATAAGTGCCCCACACATGAGTGATGTGAAGCTGGCCAGGCTCACCCAGCCCCCAGAGGTCAAACACAATCCTGATACGGCCCT